AGGGCTGTCCTGACACTCAGTGGCAGCCCCCCAAGAGCGCACCAAGCATTCAAAGGCAGCCCTACTCCCCCACCCCAGCTTTTCCACCTCCAGACGACATAGCTCTTGCCACGTGTCACAGACTGGGGCCTGCCCTCGGCGCGCCCATGGCCCCGGCTGGGCGGCTGCAGCTCCCCACTAAGCAGGAGGATGGACTCTGCCCTCATCCACATGACGCCCCCTCCCCTTCCCCAGCCCCAGGCCCCCAGCCCTCCAAGAGCAGCTAACTCCCAGGCAGCACACGCCACAAAGGGCTGGTGGAAAAGTTTAGGTCCAGAAGCGCACTGTTCTGACCCCTGGCACAGCCCTGGGGTCTCCGTGCAGCCAGGGCCTGGCTTGGCAGGTGTCCGGGGGAAACGGGTGACATCAACCACACCAAGCACTGACCCTGCAGTGACAGCCTGCAGGTGGCAGGTAATGGTGCCGCACAGCCGGGCAGGGGGACCAGGCACCTGCTCCCCAACCCCAGGCAGAGGTCCACATCACAAGCCCGGTTCATCTGCAACGAGGCTTAAACGTAACAAAGAATGAACAAGACTGCCCTCCTACCCGCTCCACGGAAGGAGGCCCAGAGGCCTAGCTTGGAAAACAATCTGGGCACGCGTGGGTGCTGGAAATAAAACATGCATATTCATCCCAAGCTCCTGACTTATCCCCCCAACCCCACGTTTCCCCTTTGGTAATCGCAAGTTTGTTTTCAACATCTGTAAGTCTGTTTCTGTTTTGTAAATATAAGATAGATAACCAGCAAGGACCTACTGTACAGCACAGGGAACTCTGCTCGACATTCTGGGATAACCTATATGACAAAAGAATCTAAAAACGAATAGATAACATGTGTATGAATAATTGAATTACTTTGATGTACACCTGAAACTAACACAACATTGTAAATCAATTATACTCCAATAAAATTTTAAAAGGATAAGACACATTTGACTAAATGCAATAAATTTTTGTATAGTAAAAAGACAAAACAAAAAAATTAAATTTGATAAATAAATCCAAATGTGTACATTTAAAAACAAAATGCAAACATTCTCTCTGCATCGTCACATCTACCACACCCTTCTGTCTCGTCCCGGAAACGAAGGCCATCAGGCTGCACGCAGTGAAGGAGGGGAGCCCACGAGATCCGTGTGGACGGGGAGGCGACCAGGGACCAGGGCTGCCCCAGGCTCCAGCAGAGCACCACAGGCCCGTCCACTCACTCCCTGCTGAATCCCTGCACCCAGAGACGGCTCTGTTTACCTCACAAAGATGTCCGCAAGGTGGACCGTGTCACGTATTTGAAAGTGTGCACATTTTACAACACGACGGTTATCTGCACCGACTCACAGGGAACCCACTGGATGATGTGATGGCCGTGGGTGTGAGAGCAGCAGCCCTGGGTCTGGGGCTTGGTCCCCTGGCGCCACCGCTTCCCGCAGCCCGATCACTCTCCCCTCTCGTCCTGCAAACGACCAGCGTTTAAACACGTAGCTGTCCCCCTTCTCAAAGCAGACAGCAGCCCTGCTGGCCCCTGCCTGCTGCAGGACCGTTCGGAGGCTGCCGACACGTCTGCCGGCTTATTCCTCCCCATTCTCTCTTGAATCCCCTCTGCCTGCTTCCTGTGACAGCTGCCGTGTCAGGTTCCAGGCCAATGGGCTCTCAGCCCACCTGACACCCCACAGCGGCACTGACAGAGCAGACGGGCTCCCCAGCTTCCAGAACACCCCACACACCGGGCCCTCCCAGCTCCCGGCGGCCTCTTCCCTCCCCTTGGCTGGATCCCCTGCGCCCGACCTCACGCCGGGGCTCGGCCTCTGGTCTTCTCTCCAGGGACGCCATTGGCCCAGAGCTCCGCACGCCCGTCTGCACCAGGAACACAGACTCCCACCTCCGCTCGCCTGGCCTGGACCCCACCCCACCCGTCTCATGTCTCCAAGCATCTGGTTGGCTGGGCCACTTGACCACTTCACAGGCATCTCAAACTCAACAGCCCAAACCCGGCTGCTCATCTTCCTGTCCCACCCCCCCAGCCTCCTCCTCTGGTCCTTCCTGTCTCAGTCACCGTCCTAGTCACTCAGACCAACCCTCTGGGCCCTCCCTGGTTCCTCTCGCAGCCTCACACCTACTCTAACCTCTAATCTGTAAATTCGACGGCTCCATCTGCCAATCCATCCAGAAACCAACCACCTGCCGGCATCTCTGCACCAGCCCAGCCGGCGTCACCGGCACGTCTGCACCCCAGGCTGGCTCTCTCGCTGCTCTGCATCTGCGTCTCCACAGGGACACATTAAATAATGTTGCAGGGAGTTCCAGTCCCTGATAAGATGGAGGAGCCTCTCCGAAAATGCAGCCACACGCGGACAGGACTTATGAACAGCTCTCTCCTGTCATTTTAGGAAAACGGAGGCTTGTTCTCTGGCATCCCAGCCTCCCGGGCGATTTTTGTGCGGCAGTGGGACAGTCTGCAAAAGCCTCGGACTGGGGGAGGGACGCCTCCTCTCCGACTGCCCGGAAGCTGTGTCCCGGGAGGGGACCCTGCTCCCTCTCTCTGTTTTCCCTCCGCTGGCCGGGCGGCTCCGGCGTGGAGACATTGCAGCAGAACAGGGGGAACAAAGCCGCAGTCTGATGTGTAAAAAGGAAAGCACCAGAAAGATCTCAAGAGAGGGAGGAGCTCATGAAAGCACCCCGTAAAGTTGTTCAGGAACTCCTCAGTGATAGACACACAGCTTAGCAGAACAGGACAGTGCAGAAATAGCCCTGCAAAACTAGGGCCAACTGACTTTTGACAAAGGAGCAGAAGCAATTCAGTGCAGGAGCTACCGTCTTTAACAAATGGCGCGGAATACTTGGATATCTATAAGAAAAAAAACCCGCAACCAAAACCTCACACCTTATTCAAAAAACTCAAAATAGATCATAGCTCCAAATATAAACTGTGAAACTACGACTTTTAGAAGAAACATTGGAGAAAACCTTCCTAACATTGGATTTGATTCCAATATTTCAATCTATAAAAAAAAAAAAAAGTTGGGTAAGTGGGACTTCAACGAAACTCAAAACTTTTGCTCTGCAGAGACGCTGTTAAAAGGATGAAAAAGAGAAGATAAAAACTGGGAGAAAATATGTGCAAATTACACAGCTGGCCAAGGACTTTTATCCAAAATATGTAAAGAACGTTCTAAATCTAATGGACTTAAACACAATAATTAACAATCGATGTAACTTTAAAAACGGGCTCCACCAAAGAGGACACACGGGTAGATGGTGAGTTAAGTGCGCGGAAAGCCGTTCCGCATCACTGCAGGGAAGCACAAGCGACAGCACCCCATGCCCATGGGCGGCTGAGAAAGCTGAGCGCCCGGCCTGCCCCTCGGAACGAAAACGCCGCGGCCCCTCGGGAAGCAGTGCAGTAGTTTCCTCCCATAGAACCCAGTGCTCACACTGGTCAGCGCTGACCCTGCGGCAGGGGCTGCAAACTTTTTTGTAAAGGGTCGGACAGCAAAGATTTTAGGCGCTGAGGTTGCCTGGCCACTGCTGCACGTGTGCCGAAGCACATGAGTAAGGGCGGTGCTGCGTGCCAATAAAACTTTATTGACAGAAACAGGTGGTGGCAGGGATTTGGCCCCCATGACCTCAGGCTATAGTTTGCCAACGCCTGCCCTGGAAAATGAAAACTTCTGTTTACACAAACACCCATACACAAAGATTTATAGCAGCCGACAGGGCTTCCAGCAGGACTGCAGACCCCACGTGAGCCCAGAGCTTTGCCTCGGTCGCTGCGGAGCATCTAGCACGGCGCCTGACACACAGGAGGAGCTCAACAAACACCTGTTTGTTGAGGACTTTCATTAGAGCTGTTTTGCACTCCTCACAAACGCAGGTCTTCCCTGGAAGCAGAAATGTTGAAGGGCCTTAAACACCACCACCCCCTGCCTGCCCCTCCACCACAGCCCCGTCTGTCCTCCGCTCACCCATGGTCCCCACTCTGCTCACAAACTCTTACCCCTAAAAAGAAGAAACAAAATCCAGACGTGCTTCTCTGGGCTCACAGTGCAGCTAGAAACCACCACACAGACACTCCGGGGACGACAGATGGCTTCAGCGTTTAGAACGAGTCCGTTCTTAAGCTGAAGCCCGTTGTGAAAAAAGAACTACGCCTGACAGCCATCTCGGTACAGAGGCGACACCTGGGCAGGTAAGGCCATGCCCAGAACAGACCCCTGGACCCACGAGAGGAGGAAAAGGCAAGAGTCCCGTGCTCAGAGTTTTAGGATCACCTGACAACGTGGGGTTTCAACGGGTAAGCGTGCTGCATGACCCGGGAACACGTGTGTGACCTCCAGGCAATGAGGATGCCATCGGAGTAAAGGAGCAGGACCCAGTGGGGCACCATGCCCGGGGACGGGGCCCAAGGCCGGCAGGAGACCCCTGGTCACTGACAGCGTCAGGGCTCCCCCAGGCGAGGCCCGAGCACGGGCAGGTCAAGCCCAGGACGAAGCACGGGAGGCCCATCTGCCTTTTTTTCTGGGCCAGCACGGAGAAAATGAACAGAGACCGGGTGATTGGGCCATACCAGGGGCAGAGCTCCTGAAGAAAGAGCTGGAGCCCATGCAGCGTGGCCCTGCTCCTTTTATTTCATTTTTAATCTTGAGAGAAAGATGAGTCAACATTATGGAAGCAAATTACAGTGAGACTCCCGACAGCCTTAAAAGCGAGAAGAGGAAGCAGGCAGTGACCAGGCAGAGGCCAGCCCGCGGAGCCCCAGCTCGGCCTGGGGACGGTGTTTCCGCTTCCATCAAGGGGAGACTTCAGATGCCAGTGGCCAGCTGGCAGACGCTCCGTCATTACTCACAGGTGCTCACGTCAGGGCAGAGTGACGCTGGCTCTCGCAGACGGGGCTCCGGCTGGAAAGCCAACGCCCGGCACACAGCTGCCCGCGCTGGGAAGCCGCCCAAGGGTGGCCCGGCGGGTCAGAGCAGGATGTGGTACTTCAGCGCCCGGGGCACCCTGTTGACGACCAGCCTCCCGTCATAGCTCAGGGAGGCAAAGAGCCAGGGGTCGGCCGAGGACCAGTCCACAGCATACACGCTGTCCTCGTGCTCCTCGTATGTGGCGATGACGCTGTCCTGGGGAGGCTCCTGGCTCCTACAAGGCACCAGAGACACGCGTGCGTGAGTGAGGCGGGCACCCTGCCCGGCGGTGGCAGCAGGCCTGGTCTTCTCACCTGTGCAATCGGGCAGTCCCCAGGAGCCGAGGGGGCCAACGGGGGCGCCCCTGCGGGAGCCCAGAGCCATCCCGTCCCCAGCCGTGGGCCCTCGCGGCTCGTGGGTGGCCCCCTACCGCCTAACACCTCCCTCCGCGGCTCTGCAGCAGGACGTGCTCGGGCTCGGGGGACGGGGGCTGGGGAACGTTCATGGGGCTAAGTGGACAACGGCCAAAACTCCTGTGACGTCTGCCAGAGGGACCTGGGGACCGGCCGGCACAGCCCCCTGGGGTGGGCATGGGGAGCCCTGCTCAGGACGAGGGTGAGGGGCCGGAAGGCCGGCAGGCCCTGGCCTGGGCTGTGACACCTCCCGGCACCCCGTTCACATGGGAGTCGCTCGCCCCTTCCCTGGGACGCCTGCCCGGGCGGCGCTCACGTGCACGGCCCTGCGTGGGAGCACGCGGAGCCAGGCCGCCCGCCTGGGCCTCCGAGGTCACAGGCCTGCCACGCGCCGGGCTGCTTCTCCACCCAGCAGGGCCTCCTCGGCACTTTTCTCCCCTTTTCATGGCTCTCTCTACCCGAGGAGCTCTCAGCAATCTGGGACTTTTCCCAGGAGAGAGCCAGCCCCATGTGCCCCCTGGCTCGGACCCTCACGCATCCCACGGCCCGACCCTCCCAGGAAGCCAACCTGCGGTGGCCAGCGAATGCCTGGGTACAGACACCGTGTACAAGTCCTTAGGGGACTCCCATTCTCCTGAGCTCACTAAGACATGGGGACCAACCCCAGGAGCAGGCCTGCGGGAAACCGTGGAGGCACCTCGCGCCACTGCCATTGCCCGGCATGCCTGCCAGCCACACGCGCCTTCCTTCCTAGTGTGCTTCTCTGAAGCTGCCCGCGCGTAGGCAGGACCCCTGGATTAACACACGGGGCCAATGAAGGGGCCACCAGCTCTGTCCCCGGTACAGACGGGGCTCGGACGCCTGCTTGGCCGTGAGAAGAGAGGACAGTAGAAAACACCCAAGCCCTGCACGTGGCAGGTTGCTGGACTGAAGCTGCTGCAACTGTATCTAAATACTGAGTTGGAACAGAAAAATAAGTGCATTTGTCTCAAGAGAGACAATCGGTAGACTGCCACCAGCCAGCTTCTCACACAGGAATTTTAGGCTCATCTCAGGTGGGCAGAGGAAGAAATCAGACAGCAGAACAGTGTGAAGAGTCTCCAAACAGAACGACAAACCCCTCTCGTATTTTACGGCTCAGACCACTCAGCTCGACAGGGTTTTATTCCAGAACCTCCTCCCCTGGAGGCGAGAGACTCGACTCCACGATAGCATCTGAATCACAACAGGGAAGCAGCCGCCGCACACGATGGTGCATCTACTCCAGGAACAAGACGTGTCTCCTTTACACCCACGTTGCTGACAAAGGACACGGGCTCACCCCGCCGTCACTGCCCTGGACCAGGCCGCCCTGTGTGAGCCCCGAACCCCAGGACCCTACAGGTCTCGGAGCGCGACCCCATTGTGAAGAAAGAGCCCCCAAGCAGAGCAATTAGGATTGGAAAGAGTTTGGAAAATACTCAGCCGAGATGGTGAGGCTGCGGGAACAGGCAGCGAGGTTTCCCGCACGGCGCCCAGCGTCTCGGGGAAAGCAGTGCGGGGGGGCCGGGCCAGGTCTGGGCCCGAGGTCCCCGGCTTGACACCTGCCAGCGAGGGTGGCCAGTCCACGACCCGATCCAGGACGGCACGGCCAGGAGGGACGCCCGCCACTGCCTCTCCCACAGGGTGTCACGAGGGCAGGCGGAGGTCGCTTCTCACTCCCCAGGGCCACGGCCCTCACAACCTTACATGTGACGCTCAGTAAGAACGTGGACAGACACGCGTTTCAGAGGCCATAGCGGATGGCGCTGGTGCGGCTGCCCTACCGGACTCCATGGCCCGCAGCCCCACGCCTGCCCGCAGACACGCCCGACACCAGCCGCAGGGACCGAGCCACGCCCACCCGCCGGCAGACCGACCACGCCCACAGCCACGCCCACACACCGAAGGCCGCCGCACCCGAGCGCTCACCTCTCCTCCTGCTCGCTCAGGTCGTCGTCGTCCACCAGGTGGCCGAAGGGCTCAGAGGAGATGGACACCATGTTGGAAAGGATGACCCTGCTGTCACTGCTGCCTGTGAGGACGAGCTGGTCGTGCGAGTGGTTGTATCGGACGCCCCACACCCTGTGGGAGGACAGGGAGGCCGCGTCCCACCCGCTCGTCTGTCGCTGGGTGGCTCCGAGCAGGGGCAGGCGCGTGGCAGGGCTCTGAAACCTTCTGAATCCCGACTAACGGAGACCAAATGGCAGCACGGACCCCGGGGGGAGGTTTTACTGCTCAGGAGCCACACAGGCTTTCCAGAATTCTAAAGGCAAAGGCTGCCCAAAAAGCAAAATACGGACTAGAGAGAACCTGTGACATAGGTCGCACCCCAGGGCAGCCTCGCAAGGGCTGTTCTCTGGCCGGGTCACTAGGCCCAGGAGCTTGTGAGCTGGGCCGCCCGCCGGCGGACCCAGGGGACAGCGGAGAGCCGGACTGCCGCTCGGGGCCAGGGGACGGAGCGCCTCCCCAGACCGCAGGAATTACGGCCACTCACTGAACGTGTCCAAACCATACTCCAGCATTCAGGTGGTAAATACACACACACACAGATATGCACATGCACACAAGTGCACACACACACAAGCATGCACACCCATACGCATGCACAAAGAAGCATACATACACACACCAGTACACACGAACATGCACACACACACAAGCACACGCATGGAGACAAACACGCAAGCACATGCACACACATACATACAAGCACACACAAGCATGTACACACAACATGCTTTAGTTGAATAAAAACTGGCTCATACTATGCACGATTTTCTATGACTCGATCTCTCTCACTTAGCAAAAAGTAGCCAGCACATGGCATATATGTAAAAACAGCGTCTCAGGGAGAACGACCAGTCTTGGGCACTCTGTGTGTCCCTGCACACGGCCATCCCGCACTCCCTCTGAGAGTGGCACCATCCCCGCTGCAGTGACGCCACTGGACGGACTTGACCAATCCCCTGCTGCCAGGCCCTGGGCAGCTCCCGGCCTCCCTGCGCTGTGCACAATGCCACGTGGATATCTGTGCACGCTCATTTCTGCCTATTTGAACCGGCACTATTTCAAGAGAAAACGGAATCTAGTGTTTTTCTTCCTTTCCTATGTTTACGAATCACAAACATTCAGATTTGGAATTAGAGTTTCTTTAGGAAAAATAAAATGGGGTTGATTGAATGATTCACAGCAGCACAAACTAAGCTGGTTTGTGCCTTTCCAAACGGTGAAGTAATTAGCAAAATAAATTGCCTAAGCCCCTCCCCCAAGCGGCTCGCGAGGAACGCACCAGTGGGAGTGCTCCTCCAGCGTCTTGACGGGTTCCGTGACGTTGCGGGTGTCCCAGAACTTCACCCTGCAGTCATCCCCGCAGCTGGCCAGGTAGTACTGCTTGTTGGGGTTGAAGTCCAGGTCCCGCACCAGCTGGCCGTGTGCGCTCTCAATGCAGTAGATTTGGCTGTGCAGGGGTGGAGGGGATGGGCACAGGTAAGAGGTGGGACGAGGGACGCCAGTGACTGCACCCTGCACCTTCTCCCGGACCCCGTCCAGCGCAGGATCTAGGTGGGGCGCTCCTGTGCGCAGGCCACGCCTGCAACCCTGCAGAAGGGTGGCTGGTTGGCGGCGCTCAAAGGTGTGACCTGGAATCTTGAGGATGAGAGCGATCCAGAGGGATGAGAGCCATGGAGAAGCAGAGACAGACTCCGGACAGAAAGGCTGACCAACGTCTGGAAGGACGCAGTGAGACAGGAGAAGGAAAAGGGAGGGGCTGGGAAGCAGAGCACAGCGCTGTTGGTGTCGGGAGATGGAGACAGAGAAAAGGAAGGAAAGGTTGGGAAAGCTGTAGAAACACCGAAGGCATGTGTGCCTGCGCCTCTGTGCACACTGGTGCACCCACGTGTGGGTGTGTACACGTGCATGCGTGGGCACAGGTACCCATGTGTGTGCATGTGTGTACGGCTGGTGTGTGCATGCTTGTGCATTGTGTACACACGTGCAAGCACACACCCACGTACGGGCACGCGTGAGCTCTGAAACAGTGCTCGTCACGGCTGGGCCTCATCCTCGCACACAACCCGGTGCTGACACTGGGTTGGGGCGGGCGCAGGCCCGAATTGGCCCCACCACTGTTCACAGTGGTGGGGCCAATTCGGGCCTGCGCCCGCCCCAACCCAGTGTCAGCACCGGGTTGTGTGCGAGGATGAGGCCCAGCCGTGACGAGCACTGTTTCAGAGCTCACGCGTGCCCGTACGTGGGTGTGTGCTTGCACGTGTGTACACAATGCACAAGCATGCACACACCAGCCGTACACACATGCACACACATGGGTACCTGTGCCCACGCATGCACGTGTACACACCCACACGTGGGTGCACCAGTGTGCACAGAGGCGCAGGCACACATGCACGCACAGACCTAACTGAAGCCCTGCCATCCACCTCCAGGCTGCTCCTTGCAGGGTGTGGAATCAGAATATTCCATCTCCTACAGCGACCCCCTCTGACATCACAAACGCAAATCAGAGGTGCAGGTCACCTGAGGCAGGACAGTGGCTTCAGACGAAGAGCTTGTGTCCCAGCAGGATCGACAGGGGCCCCCGCCAGGCCCAGAGTCGGCCCCACGAGACACCCCGTCCACTCTGCCCTCTCCACTTCCTCCCTCGGCTGTGACTTCACCTCTCCTGCAAACACTGGACCTGGTGCTCTGCACGGCTCCCATTGGGACTGCTCCCGTAACCAGCTCCCTCGCCCGGCGCCAAGGTCTCCACAGTCCCATCTCATGCCAGATGACCTCAGTCCTTTTCATCTTTCCTCCCATGTTGGGTTTTCTGGCCCAAAACCACTTTTAAATCTTGAACCGGTTTTTACATCCTGAACCTTCCCAATAGCCTAATATTTTTTCCTAAAATAAGATACCCGAACCTTAAGATCTTCCGAGTGAGACAGGGAAATGAATAAAATTAAGCCCGGCGAGGTCCTAGGGAGCTGGGGAGAGTCATACAGGCACAGAGTATCGACTCAGGCTTTCCTGGGGCTCTGGGGGCAGCGATCTGAATACAAAAGCACAATGCGTTCCAGAAGCAGCACTGAAAGCACCAACACCCAGGCTGTTTGCAGAAGAGACACAACGGCCAAGGAGAAGAGCCCCCGGGTCGCCTGCTGCCCATCCCGCCCAGGGACGGCAGGCAAGGGGGCAGCAGGGCGCTGCCTCCCAGGGCCCCTCCTGCCCCCTGGCTTTGGGGTCTGTAATGTCAGTCTTCAAGGTTCTCATCTAGATACCGAAATCTTCACATCCTTCAAAGAACAATGAAAACGGGAAAAGATAGCCACAGGCCCTGGAGGAATGGATTCCAGTCCCAACACCCAAGCCCACAGCTTTCAGCTTCTAATAGGAAACCCAACAAACCGCCCGCCACCC